GGGGGGGCAGAGAGGGAGGGAGGAAGAAAGAGAGGCAGGGGCGAGTGGGATACACTTTAATTGTTAAGCATAACAAGAGTAGGATTAAGGACAAATATCCAACTTCAGAAACTGTGACATTAGGATACACTGAACAATATTCAAAGTTAGACAAAAACAAAAAAACCTGATGAAGGCAAGAAAATTCTAGAAAGGAGAAGTACCATAATATCTAAGGTATCATACGTAAATAAGTAAAAATAGCCATATGCTTGCAAACCTATGTATGCTTTTGCTCTTCTCAGAATCATGAAATACACAGGACTACATTTTCATAGCATGGCCATAATCCATACTTAAGGTTTTTAAAGGCAGAAATAAAGATATACAGCTGGATAGTTAAATTTATTTAGTAACCTAAGCATACATGAAGGTGGATAACAAATTTTTGAAGCAATGAGGCACATTATTCCACCACTTACAAAGGAAGATGAGTGTCTTAAGTGCTCTTTCGAATTTAAACTCAGATGGTCCCCTTTTCAAAGTTATTACAAGGTTGTTTTACCCAGAAACAAGAAACATGGATGAAACCATTTGATAAAAATGATTACATCCAAATTTGCAAACCAAATTTGGAGCTTAAGTTCTACTGAATTTTCTATTTGATTTAGGTCTGCAAGTTTTTAGTCACTTTGCCAAAAAATGCAATCTATACTCTTGAATCATTTATATCCTTTAAAAAAACATCCAATGTGGGACCTGCCATCCTCTAACACTATGTGTTTTTTCATACATGACTGTGTTTATACAGGATACTGTGAGCATTATCACTTGTATTCCACTACACTGACTTTCACTCAGTCACAGCAGCTCCTAATTCACTGTCCTCTTGTAGGACATTATTCTTCACCTCACATTTGGCTCTTGAACTTCTCTTATCCTTTTCTTAAATAAAATTATTCCCTCCCCTTCAAAAGCAAACACAAAAAGACTCAAACGCTGTTAAAAATACTTTAGACCCAATTTTGATGCCAAGAACTATAGAGAGGTTACTGGATACACTGACTTTCAATATACTGTACTGTTAATACCAATTAAAAGAGCCACAAGATTATCAGCACAGTGTCAAAAAAGTATCTCCTATTATTGCTAACCATGCCTATTGCTTAGAGAATAAAGTGGGGCTAGGTTGTAGTAGCTGTTTCAAATATACAGAAAAGCAGGCATTCTTTATCCCAAAGTATATACCATTGAAATGGAAATAATAGTCCACAGAAGAATTTTAAAAGCAAAAAAAAAGTAAACAATCCTCAATGAAAGTAAGTTTTTCTTCTTAGCTTATTGCAACTGATGGAATATTTACCAAGTGTTCACATAAAAGTATGCCATTAATTAAATACCCACTAATGGTTTGATTGTCTTTTTCCCCAAAGCCTAGATGGAAAAAGAAATGTTTTGTCTTCTTTAAATAATACGTATAGAAATTATCAAGATGCTATTTTTTCATAATTTCTATTTAGTATATACAGGTTGCTTCATTATATTGTCAAGGACCTGATTTCACTAACAAGCTAAATTTTCACCATTGAAAAACAGTGCTAAGGTTACATAGCATGAGAGCCAGTTTCAGAGCAAGCATGGAGTATCTGAGACAAAATTCAAGCTGAACGTAACAGCATAGCATATTCCGCCTCTCAGTTTTTCATGCTATTTTAGAGACTTTCTACTATTATTCCAAATAAAATAAAATAAAGATATACATCATGCTTGTTTTGAACATGAAGAAAACCTTGAAAATGAAGAGTGATGTAAGTGCAAACTAGAATAAGCAAACAATTTAGAGGTGTAAACTGCTCTGTTCATCCTAATAACCTTAAAGTTATAGTTTCAGTGCCAATATTAATTGCCTCATTGAACAAAACAAAGAGAACTATACAATGATTATATATACTGTCATTGGATATGACAGCTCATGTTTGTAACTTCAAATATTTCTTCAGAGAAACACCTCATTCTTCAATGAAGAAAGGAAAGTGAAGTCCAAACAGCTCAATGGAGTTTAAAAATCTTTGAGATCCAAGTCACAAGAAGCAAGGGCCAAACTGCATGCAGGAAAAAAAGGGGCACACTGAACATTGTACAGCCTCCTCAGTAGGACTTTATTTTGACATTCAAATATGGTGGAAATTCATTTTGCAAGCAAAGTGCACAAATATAAATTTGCTTTGTTTTGACCTTTGAATACAAATGAATACATGCGTGTTGCAGCATGACTCACACATTTGAATCTCAAAGAGCCTTAAATGTTACAACAAATTTTATGACTCTCTCTGTTACCTGTATTTATGTCTCCACTAATCAACTGTAAAAAGTGTATGGTTCTAAACAAATCTAACCTTATCTTTCTTGGATGTTTCAGTAGGGACTGGTACCCTTGTCTCTAATACACTTTCAGGTACGCTGTAGAGGTCTGCTGTCTAACTCCTCTGTAATTGAAACCTATGCAACAGTGCTAGTAGATTGGTAATAATTATGATTTGATATTTATGAGCCATAATAGCAATAATTTGAAGTTCATCACAGTATGTAAGAGTTCTGTCCAAAAGACAGACAATCTTGGTCTAAAGACACATCTTTGCAAATCAAAAAAACAAAAAAAGCCCAAAAAAACCCAAAAAAAGCCCAACAAACCCAAAAACCCAAAAAAACCCCAAACCTTTTTCCATCTAGTTTTTGACCAGAACAACAGATTTGCGCAGATGAAACAGAGGTAGAAACAAATTGAAGAAAAAATTAGTAACTAGGGAAGAAACATAATATTGTATGCTGTTTGAATATATACCAAAGAAAAATCTCAATTTAGGTGTGGACAATATGAATGCAGAAAATACAGAATATAAATTCAGCTGCTTTCATTAAAAAATTAGCATTACAAATATAAAAAAAATACAGTTCACAGAAAAAAAAAAAAGATTCTTGCAGTGATTTATTAATAAAAAGTTTATGTTAAGAGGCTTTCTAGCTTTTTTAGGTTTCTATTTAATGAGAAGCTTACCCTGAAATATTGGGATTTAAAGTGTCGTTTCCTTACCTGAATCATGGACTCTGACAGCTGATTTTCATCTACTTCCAATATCATCATTTTGATTTCCTCATAAGGCACTCGGAAAGAGCCAAGGAAAATTGCTAAACCAAAGATTCAATACAAAATTAAGAAAGTAAGACAACAGCAATATTTTTGCTACTAAAACACCACCAATTAAACAAGTTATAGCATCTAGAGGTTAACAAACACTGTGTAAAGTAAGACAGATCAGAGATAACAATTTTAAATGTATTTTTAATTACTGTTCTCCTACAATTCCAGTCTTCTCCATCCATTTGTTATGAACAACATCCAGCATCACAGAATATGTCCATAAGAAGCCAGTGACAAGTCTACTTTGCCGGATAATCATTGCTGTTACAGTATTTTGTGCTGAGGTGACAATTACACTTCTTTCTTCAATTGTCTTGTCAGAGCTTTCTCTTAAAAAAGCACCATGAGAAACCAAAACCATATAAACAGCTAAAAACCAAAATGCTCTTATAAACACTGCTTATTCATTCACCATAATCCAATAATCTCCTATTTCACTCCTTGTATTCCTTGATGAATATGTTGAAAACATAGATAGATAATTAGACATATAGCTGTATGTTTCTACTTCAATATAGACAGACGAGAATAATCTCAGTCTTAAAAAAAGGGATAACCTTTAACTGTTTTCGGGGTCTTTTTAAACATGTTTCAGTTGTATAAACTCACACGACTGGGCTTAACATCAATATGCACATATTCTCACACACTTTAAACAAAAAGTGGTTACCAGGCAGTCAGATAAGAGAGGAAGACATTTTTATGGAACATTTCTACAACATTACTTTGTCATAAAAATGGAATCTACTTACACAGATTCTGTGCAATCTTTGGGTCCAAAACTTTTAATTCTTTGATTCGTTTCTTAATGGATTTCTTTTCTTCAAAATCTTCCTCCTCTTTTTTTACTGTCAAAGTAAACACAAATACACTCACTGTTAACCCTTAATATTTAGGGAAAACATTAACAAATTCAGAAAACATCTTTGCTATCAAGCATAGTCAATTCACAAAGAAAAGAACATATCACAGAATACACAGACAGAAAATTAGAGAGGTTTTGCATTTATTGCTTGTATTCACAAAATTTTTGCTCTTCAGTCAAATTTGTCAGTATGTTAGCCTTCTAGAACAAGATTTTTTTTTTTAAATACATAGAAACTGAATAAAGACGCTAATGTTAATTGTATGAATGGTCTGAGGTCATGAAAGTCACATTTAATATATCATGCAAAATACTTCAGCCAGCCTAGCCAGGTTCGCATTCCGAATTGGATTTTAACAATAAAAAATCTTGAAGAAGATATGTCAGTATGTCTTAACATTGAGCAATAAAGAACAAACCCAAAATTTAAGTATTTTTGTGACTGCTTTTGTCTAAATATAGGCACCAAAATCATGAAAGACCACTGGTTCATTAAAAAAGTAACATTACCTTAGAATATAAACGAGTATATACATATTTTCCTTATCCCCTCCAAAAAGATGTATTTTTAAATATGTTGTGTAATCACTTTATTATAAAACACCACAAAGACAAAGTGACTGTATAAACTTACATTAACATTGTTGGAAATTTTGTAATTACTGAGCTAAGACATAAAGCAGTCCTTGGAAGAATGACTAATATCCAGGGTCCTGGCAAGTGGGTTACAAAGCCACAATCCCCCTCTTTTTTCTTTCTCCCCACCCTACCCACCACAACCAGTTGGCCTTGAATTTCTTTTAGTACAGATTTAACAGAAAGGTTAGCATTCTCTTGTCCCAGGAAAAAACAACACACACTGCTTACTAAGCATGTGAAAGCAAAAGAAGCAGGTTTTAACCACCAATGTGAGAACTCAATACCCCATGTTCAAAAGGAACAGAATGACATTTGAGCTACTGGATAAAAAGGAGGTTACCACTAAAGCTTCACTTTTTTCTGGTTATGCTTTAAGAAGAAGCCTTATTGAACTCAGAAGGGCATGTCAGGGGCTACGGATCTCAGGATCACACAATTGTTTTCTCCTGCAGTTACACATCTTAACAGAACTCTCAAATTTCTTAAAGGCTACATGCTGAAAACAGCCATTCTTAAAAAGCATCATTTTGAGTTGCCTGTCTTATCAATGCTAGAATTACAGATTCCACTAGAAGACCTGGACATCTCTGTAGCACAGGTTCCATGCCATTTTCATGCCGTACTCATCTGAATCATAATGAAACAGTAGTGCTTTATGGCTACCTTAGAACTTTGCAAATCCTCATTTTACAGGAAACAAAATAATTTCCTTAATAGTTGCAATAAAAAAGTGAAATTATCTGAATTTATTAATTTACTTAAACTTGCCCTGACAGTCTTGAACTGGATACTAATAGGGGCTGAAATAGAACATACAAATATGTTTGCCTTTTCCAGCAATAGAAAGCAGTATTTATGCATTACAAGTCTTGTAACAGAGATAACACAAGGATACACAAACATACAAAAAATCAGCAGCTAAAAAGGCACTATTTTAACTCCCGGTTTTCAAATCAAGAAACAATGCTGCAAATGAACTGACTAACTCCCTCTGGAATTTTCACCCAAGAGGGGGTTACGCACAATGTTACATCAATACTTAAGGTATCGCAACCCTAAGGAAAAACATATAAGCATAGAACGTATTTACTCTAGGAACTTATGTAGGACTTGTATGCAGAGTTATACAACTATGCAACAAACTAAATTACCGCAAACTTACGTGATACTTCTTCAGGAGAATTCAGGTCACATCCTTATGTAGTTGGCAGCAATAAGAAGCAGAGGATACATATTACTTGTATTCCCTATTGGAAATGTTGTACTTTCCAATGAAAATTCTGATACCTCCTACTGCCTCTAGAAATTTTTACCTCACTTGCTTATTAACTTAGAATGGAGGAAAAACAAAAAAAAACATACATGCAAAAAAGAGGCAAAACTATTATCTATTTCTAACAAGAAAAAAAAAAAGATAAAAAATTCACTGGGGGAAAAAAAGAAAAAATTAATAGAAATATCTGAACAGATGAAGTAAATATCTAAACAAACAGGAAACAAACAAAAAAAAGAAATTAAATTTTTATTTGAGGAGGGCACTGGAGCAGGGAGGAAAGTATAGAGAAGATAGAAAATGGGAAACATCTGCTTACACTGGGAAAATGGAAAGCAGCCCAGTGAGAGTTTCCACTGCTGCAGAAAGGAGGTGACTATCAATGGAAAGAGATGTAAGATGCCGTTGTGCTAATGAGAGAAGAATCAAACCAGGGGATCTCAAAATGCATGGACAGCTCTCACGGCTCCAGAAGTTAGACCATCATATTAAAACATTCACTTCTTCAAAATCATATGTCTTATTTCAGGTACTATGCAACTATGCAGAACCATACATCCTTTCAAGTTCTGTCTATATGCTACATCTATCATACTGGGATGTATACACATGGCCCCAGCATTTGAACTGGATGATTTTTAGTCCATAGTACCTCATCTGATGCTTCAACTGCTCTGCCCTCTCAGGCTGAGAAACAAAGTGCTGGAGCACTTTGAAACACACAGAATTCATCTCCCACCCTTCACAGTTCCTCTTATCTCCACAATCCCACATCTTTATTAACATGACTCCAAAATTAACAGATGTGATTGCCAGTGTACAGATGGACAAATATCTCAAAGGAGTTTTAGATATTAGAAAGATTGTTTTTACCGTCTCCTTCAAACATGCATTCACCTACACGTTCAACTGTAGTCAACTACCTCCGTTTGTGGCAATGACCTGACTGAAATTAGTCCTGAAGGGAGTGGCAACAGAATTGTTTTGCAAATATAACATCACAGTTGGAAGCTTACAGGACAGCATTTCACAAAAATGTGGATTGAATCCTACGTAGCTACTCTGCTGATCTCCAAAACAATTACTTTCTTGGTAGGTGCCACTGAAATAATCCACATTCACAAATTGCTATCCATTTTTCCATTTCTGCCACAGGTCTTGATATAATCTGCTACCCATAATCTTTGTGTAAGAAAAATCATATCTGTGCATTTGTATACTAAAGAAAAAAAAAATCTCCTAAAATACATCATTCGACTGAATAATACCCTTGCAATACGGTTCAAAATACTCTTGAAATACAGGCTTCAAAAGGAACATGCAGATCTGAATAATTATTTTTAAAAGTCTGAATTCCTAGTTCAGATGAAACTTGAAAACTACATTACACACAAATTTACATAACACTCAATGGAGCTATTTTGTCATTAGTAACAGAGTGTACAGAAAATTATGTAAGACTTTGCACCTTTCTCACTGTCTTAGCTAAGACAACAGTCATCTTGCACCCTGACTTCACTGAAAAATGGAAGAACAAACCTGGGCTCATGGACTCAAAGGATGTCCTCATACTGGGTCTCATTATGAAAGTAGATGCCTACCTCATCTGTTTAGAAGTCTAACTCTTAGAAGTACATGATAGCTTGTGCCCCATACAGTAGGATATTCAACTGAAAGACCTGCATTCTTTATGTCCAAAAAGTTATCTGGAATCAAAGGAATATATCTTCAATAGAAAATGAGGCTGTAGCTAAATAACAACTGCTGAAAAAGTTCTTAGTTATTCAAAGCAAAAAAAGTGGAACAGCTTTCTATAAATCACAGAACTTTTGAGGTTGGAGAAGACCTCTGGATGTCATCTGGTCCAATTCCCCTACTCAAGCAGGGCCGCCTAGAGCCAGGTGCTTAAGACTGTGTTCAGGCGGCTTTTGAATATTTCCAAGGCTGGAGGGAGAGTCCACAACCTCTGCGGGCAACCTGTGTCAGTGCTCAGTCACCCTCACAGTAAAAAAAAGTGTTTTGTGATGGTCAGCAGGGATCTCCTGTGATTCAGTTTGTGCCCATTGCCTCTGGTCCTGTCACTGGGCACCACTGAAAAGTGCCTGGCTCTGTCCTCTTTGCTCTCTTCCTTTGGGTATTTAAATAAATTCCTGAGATCCTCCCAAGCCTTCTCTTCTCCATGTTAAACAGTCCCAGCTCTCTCAGTCTTTCCTCAATAGGAGAGATGGTCCAGTCATTTCATCATCTTCATGACCCTTTGTTGGGCTTTCCCCGGTATGTCCATGTTTCTCTTCTACTGGGTAGCCTCAGGCTGGACACAGTACTCCAGGTGTGGCCTCACCAGTATTGAAATCAAAGGCCTGACAAAGAATATATGTCTTCTGGCTGACAGAAGACAGCCTTTTGAAGACTTGAATTGTTTTAACAGCTCCACAACTACTGTCTGACAATATGACATGCAATAAACCAAAGAAAATTTAGTCTACAAAAAAAGGACACTGACAAGCCTACTTCCTAGGCTGTAATGCTACACAGGTGCAATCAGCTCCATTTGTACATTGCACGCTGAGTTGCAAGGTTCACCAGCACAGTTCCTTGTGATAATCTGCTTCAAAATAGCAAAGAAATTATGAACTAGGTCTAAATCATTCTGCAATATCATTGAAGACATTTATTTGCTTTTTTTTATAAAAATGAGGATAAAATGAGGATACTGGAACAGCCCACAGCAATAGGAAGAAGGTCTGAATTCTGAAAGGTCAGGAAGTTGGTAAAGGTCCTTCCTTCCAAACAGAGCAACCTAAGGTTTTATCAACACAAATGTTAGTCTCAGAGACTGTTCATCACTCTTAATAATCTAGTCCAGCCCTTTTATGGGGTACAGACTATACTTCAAGTACTATGAAAAAGCTTTCACACTCCATCTTACTTTACATCTACATATATCCAAAACTTGAAAAATCAGTATGAAGCTATTAACTATGGTAGGAATATAAATAACACTTCACAGTTTTACTTGTCAGCTTTGAAACTGAAAATGTTTCCATTACTTTACATCAAGTTGGATTGCA